CCACCGAGGGGCTGGAGCACAGCTGAGCGAGGGGAGTGTCCAGTAGCGACAGGAAGACCACAGAGCCAGTCTGGCGGGCCTCGTGGGCCAGGGCTGGGGGTGGGGTAGTTCTCAGTGCTGCGGGGAGCCCCGGGTGAGTTTAAAATAAGCAGAGTGTGGTGGGTCCGATTCATGTTAATCGGATCTCCCCAGCGACTGTGGGGGATTGGCGGGGAGGCCAAAGTGGGGCAGGGAGACCCACTCAGAGACTCTGACCGCACCCACACCTTGCATGTGTCATCAGCCCCCTTTCCGGAGGAGGGGACTGAGGCTCAGAGAAGGCACCTGCCTGGGGGCCATGGGGGCAGCTGCCAAGTCCGCTTACTTCCCAGTTCTGTGCCTGAAACCTGCACGTTGGCAGGACTGGATGCCCTCCCAGGTGAGAAACAGAGCAGCACAGCCCCTGGGGCACTGGGTACTGAGGGCAGGCAGCTGTTCCAGACCTCTCTGTGGGCCAAGAGGTGGCCGACCGGAGCCGAGGCCCCTCACACCCCACAGTTACACAGGACACCTGGGATCTGAATCTGCCTCTGCTGCCGAAGAGCCATGTGGGCCTGCTCCTCTCTGCACCTCCGTTTCCTCAAGTGTCACACAAGGTGGTTGAGCTGGATGCCCTTCCAGCTCATCACGTCATCCCTCCATCACCCACTAGGTACGCGGCATCTTACTGGGAATTGACAGTCCAGCCAGGTACTTACACATTCATGAGTAAGGAATTAAAATAGGCACCTCGCCCCTGAGTGGTGACTTAGGGAAGGCTTCTTGGAAGAGGTGGTACCTGCCACCAAGTCTTAAAGGGGTGTAGGAGTTTGATGACAACGGGAGGGCATTGCAGGGAGTGAGGGCAGGACGGGCAAAGGCCAGAAGTGTGGAGGTGGGCCCGGGGCAGGCACCATACATAGTCGACTGTGTGGAGCAGTGGGAAACGAAGCTTGGGGTGGTGGGTGCTGAGAGATGGGCAGGTGCCCACCCTGGGGTTCTGGGGTCCTTGAGGAGTTTGGGGAGCTGTTGCAGATTTTTTTTAATTACAGTTTTATTGTGACATCATTCACATGCCGTAGAATTCAGCTATTTAAGTCGTACAATCCGGTGATTTTTAGCGTATGCGCGGAATTGTGCAACCATCCCCACAATCAATTTTAGAACACGTTCATCACCTCAAAAAGAAACCCTATTCCCCATTAGCAGTCACTCCCCATTCTCTGCTCTCCCCAGTCCTTAGCAACCACTAATCTACTTCTGTCTCTATAGACGGCTATTCTGGATACTTTTCTATAAATGGAAGCACACACTATGTAGCCTTTTGTGCCTGGCTTCTTTCATAAGCACAATGTCGTCAAGGTTCATCCATGTTGTGGTGTGTATCCATACTTTATTCCTTTTTATGGCCGAATAATATTCCATTGTGTGCCATTGTGGGTTTTTAAGTGACACAGAAAGGTGTGGACTTTAGAAAGCTGGCTAGGGGAGTGGGGGTGGGCAGGAGGAGGCCAGATGGCCACACGAGGCTAAGGAGTCGGTAGGAAGAGCTTTCTGGATGCCCGAAGGGGTAGAACAGCTGCAGAGAAGAGCCAGGATCGGGCACTGCTACGGGCAGGGTGGGGGCGGGGGGAGACCTGGTAATTGGCAGCAGGGGCTGAGGGTAGGGAGGAGGCATCCAGAGTTCCTGTGACTGGGTGGAGAGTGATGTCACCTTCCCAGATGAAAGAACAGGTTTGGTGAAGCACTGGCTAATAGATAGAGAAACCATAGATGCCCAGTGGGAAGGTGGAGGGGTAGCCAGGCTGCACACCTAATGAAGGAAGGCTTCTGGAGGAGGCAGCCCGGGGAGTCTGAGATGGGGCCAGGACATGGTGACAAGAGAGGACAGCCAGAAAGGCAGCCCAGGTGGAGGGGCTGGAGGGGAGACTGGGCAGCCACCCACCAGCCGGGCCCAGGGAATTGCCAGCAGATGGAAGAGATGTGCTAAGCTGGACAGGCTCTTGCCTGAAAGGGAGCCAGGAGGGTCCTGATCTTAGGAACAAAACCTTTTGGCATCTATTAGGATGATCCTAGATCCCCACAGGAGCCCTGTACCCCCATTCTACAGGAGAGCAAACTGAGGCTCAGAGACGTCATCTGCTTAACTTGAGCCAGAGCTGCAGGCTGCATGTCTTGACTGGATTGTGCCAAGATGGTGGGCTGCCTCTTCAGCCAGGCAGCAGAGGACAGGAGCACTCAGGACCCCAAAACCAGTGCAGCAAAGTGGCGAGAGCCCTGGGCGGGCCCCCAGAACTAGAGCTGCCAATCCCCGCTCAGCGCTCTTGGACCATTGACAGGAACGCAGGTTGCACAGGGCCGTGTAGTGTGGTGGTTAGGGAAGCTTCTAGAGTCAGACCACCTGAGACTGAGCCGCTGTAAGCTCACGTCCAAGCAAATGACTCCCATCTCTGTGCCTTCACACCTCCATCTGAAAATGGGAGTGATAACCTTCCCTCCATCACAGGGCTGGGTAAGGACTGGATGAGTTACTATGGGCTAAGTCCTTAGGACAGTGCCAGGATTTTATACAAACTCAATAAATGTTGACTGTTTCATATTTACACTCTGAAGGCCTGGTTTCCCCATCTGTCCAGTGGAAGACTTAATAACCCCCAGAGCACTCATCATCCTCCTTGGAGTCACGAGAGCCTGGGTGGTTCTATCAAAGTCCTGACTCTGCTCTTGCCTATAGTTCCTTAAGGACTGGACTGGAGCTGGACTCGAGATCCCCGTGGGGCCTGGTCAGGGTGGCATCAGCCAGTGTCTTTGTTAAGTTGGCTGCCACCTACCGGAAGCCCCCTCCAAAAGGCAGGTAAACTAGGGCCCCAGGGGGAGGGTGCTGTTTTCTAGTGCCCCAGGGGGAATTGTCTGGGGCGTATACACTGAGTGCTTGTTTTATCCAGCAAGCCCTGAGTTGTGACTACAACCTCTCCCCTGCCCCACGCCAGACACTGTCCATCGCATGGGGTCCTCATGGCCACATTATGGGGTAGATGCTCTCATCCCAATGAGAAAACTTCAGCTCAGAGAGGTTGAACTACTTGCCTGAGGTCACCCAGCAGATCGGTGTTTGAATCGGATACAGTTCAGTAATGCCAGGAACTGTTCTAGGCATTTTTGCCTAAATTTAACCACTGTAATCCTTGCAGCAATTGTAGGAGGTAGATAGTCTTGTGCCCATTTTGCAGATAAGGAAATAGCTTCAGTGACTGGCCCAAGGTCACACCCCTGGCACAGGCAGGTCAGGGATTTGCCAAGCAGCCTGCACACTAACCACCATTCTTCACTGCCTTTCTGTTCACACGATCCCCAAAGCCCAAGCCCTTCCCACTTTAGCAGGCAGCTTCAAGATGTATGTATGGAGCATCTGCTGAGTGCCGGGTTCTGTGCTCGGCACAGGGGAAGGAGCCGTGAATCAGACGTAGTTCCCATCCCGAGGGAGCCAAGAGCGTGGCCAAGGGACCCCTTGATGAATAATTGTGGCAGGGGAGTAAAGCTTTCTGAACTCGAGTACTATAAGCACCAGGGGCGGGGGGGTGGGCCTCTGAGGCTGGAGCTCATTGAGGGGTTGAGGGGAGGGCAGTTTGCTAAGTATTTGAACACGGAGGATAAGCTGGAAGGCTGGGGCTGGAAAAATGATTTAGGGAAATGGATGTTAGCCATTTGCACGCGAGGAGATGGACGCTCCGAGGGGTGGAGTGGCTTGCCGGAGGTGACAGAGCGCACAGGCCTGGAATGTGATCCGGGTGAACCCCCCTGGCCTGTACGTGGTTTAGCCGCCTTTCACCCCAACGAGGAACTTGCCCATTGCAAAGCTCTTCCCTGTCCACCTTCTCACTTACCCCTTAGGTGATCTCCCCTCCACAGGCTCCACAGCAGAGCTGGGATGATGAACCCCAGTAAGCAGCAGAAGAAACTGAGGCCAGGAAAAGGGCAGGGCCTGGACCCCAGGCTTCCTGATGCCCAGCCCAGGGCTAGGGTAGGGTGGATTTGCACACAGGTCCACACAGGAGTGGTCCTTGCTTGTAGAACCTAAGCCCTGAGCTGCAGGGCCTGAACCCACATCCTGAGCATCCTCCCAGAGCAGGGAAGAAGGCCGAAGCCCCTGGAAGTTCCCAGATTGCTGAATGCCCATCAAGTGCAAACACTTCCCTCCTCAGGCTGTCCCTGGTACTGCAGGCTCCCTTTGGTGAAATACATTGATCCAGCACCTACTGTAATAACAGCTGCTATTCGTTGGGCACCTCTACTGTGCAAGGCCTCCTGCCATGTGCCTTACACACTGGACCAAATTCCCCCAGTGGCCTTCAGAAATGGGTCTTAGGATCATAATTTTACAAATAAGGAAACTGAGTCTCGGCCTGGTTAATCCGCTTGCCTATGGCCCCACGGCTAGCACAGGCCAAGCTGGGACTCAAACCCAGGTCTGTCTACTTCCAAAGACCGTGTTCTTTTCTGCTTTATAACATCGCATTTCTGTGTGGCCTGCACTGTGCTAGGAATTCTCTGCTGTAACGTAATCATCATGATCCTCTGGAAGCCAGGAATCTAGTTATAAGAATCAGGGCTCAACCAGCCATCAGTGAGCAAGACTGGACCCTGGCTCCTGCCCCAGACCTCTTCAGAGTCTTCAGAGTAAGTCAGGATTGACCCTAGAAGCGGTGCCACAGCCAACCTGGAAAAGGTGAAGAGGGATTGCTAGGGATCCCGCTGAACCCATAGACAGCTTCAGAGACAAGAAACCAGGTAGCCTAGAACCTTCTGGGCACAGATAGGACTGCCCTGTTGGAGCCTGGAGACCCCCAAGAGCCTTAGGAGACGGGGTTTCCCAACAGTTGCACTTCATGGCCCCTCCAAGAGACTACATGGGCTCCCCATGCCTTGTGGCCCCTGAGTCCTCATCTGGTTTCCCCAGCGACTCTCCTTGTCTTCTCTCCCAGGTTGCCCTTCTGGAACCTTCAAGGCCAACCAAGGGGACGAGGCCTGCACGCACTGTCCCATCAACAGCCGGACCACCTCAGAAGGGGCGACCAACTGTGTCTGCCGCAACGGCTACTACAGAGCAGACCTGGACCCCCTCGACATGCCCTGCACAAGTACGCTCGGGGCCCCTGGAGGGCGATGCCCCACTGCGTCCCGAGTCCCCTTGCAGAAAGCTTGGAGCAAGGGGTGGGCGGCTGCCTGGCTCCAGCCAGCCTTTCTTGAGCGGGGAGTGGCCCATCACCTGGTGGGAGGGGAAATGAAAAACTGGTTGGAAAAGGACCATCCTGGGGTCTCTGCCCTGCCAATGCGCAGCAACCGTGGAGCTGACATCTGGCTCCGTACCTCCTCCTGCCAGTCACATGGAAGATAAAGTCAAGGTCTCGATTCACAAAGGGACGGTGAATGGGAGGCTTGGCAGAAGGAGAACCAACGCAGGTGGTGTGTGTGACAGAAAAGCCTGCCCAGTGTTCTAACCTGGCAGCGGCTGCCTGAATCTCAGGCCAAGGTTCTCTAAGAAAGGAGTGACTAGGAGGGCAATCTTACCATCTCCTGTATAGACAGGAATGGAATTCAGCTGCAAGCAACAGAGAGCTGACCCCAGTGGCTTAAACCATAGGACTCTATTCTCTCACATAGCAGAACGCTGAAGATAGGCAGTCCTGGGATATTACGACAAATCCATGGAGTTCTCTGGGACCTGGCTCACTCTTTCTGGGCTGCCATCCTCAGTGTGTGGTTTCTATCCTTTGGGTCACTTCATAGTCCATAGTCCAGCATTGCTGCTGAAGCTCCAGCCATCACACACATTCTAGGCAGAGGAAGAAGGAAAGGGACAAAGGGACATTTTACAGTGGTCTCCTTTTAAGAAAAAGTCCTGACCAACAACTTCTGCAGTATATCAATGGCCAGCCCTTCATCATAAGAGGCTAGGAAATTAGTCTCCTAGCTGGACATCTTACCACCCTGAATAAAATTGGGTTCTGTTAGAAGGAAGAAGGGGAAAGAGATCCCGGGTGGGTATGATCCCCAACACACAAGGGGAGTCCAAGGGGAAAGCATTAAGCAGATGTGCAGCAAAACGAGAGTTATATTCTAGAAGCATCTCTCAGGGGGATGGAGGGGAGAAGGGATTTGAAGGAAGCCTTTGGGGGCCTGGGCTGGAGCCAGGGCAGCGGGCGGAAAGCCGTCTCTTAGGAATGTACCTCCGCAGCCCCCACTGACCGACACCTCTCCCCACCCTCAGCCATCCCCTCGGCGCCCCAGGCGGTGATCTCCAGCGTCAACGAGACCTCGCTCATGCTGGAGTGGACCCCGCCCCGCGATTCAGGGGGCCGCGAGGACCTGGTCTACAACATCATCTGCAAGAGCTGTGGCTCGGGCCGGGGCGCCTGCACCCGCTGCGGGGACAACGTGCAGTACGCGCCCCGACAGCTGGGCCTGACCGAGCCGCGCATCTACGTCAGCGACCTGCTGGCCCACACGCAGTACACCTTCGAGATCCAGGCGGTGAACGGCGTCACCGACCAGAGCCCCTTCTCCCCTCAGTTCGCCTCCGTGAACATCACCACCAACCAGGCGGGTAAGCACTTGAGATGCCCGCTCCGGGGGAGCAGGGCCGTGAACCCGAACGGGAACCCTGCCGGCCCCGCTCCGAGCTCCCTCCCCGCTGTGGAGTGGCTTCCACTTCTCCAAGGCCGTCCTCCCCTGGGAGTGTACGCGTCACCTCTCCGTTGCCGTGGTGTTTATGATAATTGCTGTCGTTTGGTGAGCGTGTGCTGTTGAAGGTAAGCGTGCAGCTCCCCTAACAAAAAGGCCCGGTGTTCGGTGGCCTCTGTCATGGAAGAGCCCAGGGGTGAGCAGTCCAGGCTCATGGGTAGGTCGGATCCACTCGGAGATTCAGGGACCCGGGTTCTTCCATTGGCGTTAGCAAGCCCCACGCTCCCCGCCTATGTGCATGGTGGAAACTGAGGCACAGGTGTGTCTGTCTGCAGGAAGGCTGGGAGAGAGAGGACCCAGGGAAGCAGGAGTGGAACCCATCCCTTCTGGGCACGGGCCCCTGGAAAGAACCTGGTCATGTGGCCTCACCAAGCCACAAAGGAGGCTGGGCGATGTGATCCTTTCCCAGTGGGGGGTGGGGAGACCGCCAGTAGATATCTAGCAGTTTCCACAGGCGCCTTCTAGGAGCCTTCAGCCCACCCCAGTCCAGCTCCAGCAAGCTTTTCTCCCTCAGTTCATCTTGCATAATCCTTTCTGGGACCCTCCGTCGCCCTCCATCTTCTGCCCTGCTTCCTTCGTGGCAAAAAAGTTGCCAAACGTTGCAGTCTCACTACTATTGCCATTCCCTCTTCAGTCCACTCCTCTTAGGCTTCCAGCCCCTTCTCTCCACCGAGCCCACTGTCCCCTGGGTCACCTGTGACGCTTCCCAGCCTCATCCCCCAACCAAGGACCACATGAGATTTTCAAGGACCTCATGGTACCTGTGGATTGAAAACTGTGTGTTTGGCCCTCAGTTATTCACTCAACAACCCTTGCCAAGCCCTTATTGAGAGCATGGTCTGGGCCCTGTCCAAGGAAGAGCCAAGGGAGGCCAGGCTCTGGGAGAGAAAGTGAGTGGGCTACCCACCTTATCTTTCGAATGTCAAGTGGGGCCCACACAGTAAGTGCTCAGGGGATCCAGAGATGGAGGTCTAGGAAGGCTTCCTGGAGGAGGCAGGATTTGGCCTGCAGTTTAAAGGACTAATAAAATGTTTAAGGGAGTGATAGAAATGTCTTTTGAGATTGAGGAAGGGCATGAACAAGAACATGGAAAGAGAGGGGCCAACCAGCTCCAGGTTGAAGGGTACTGTCTATACATGACCTCACTGCATACCCCTGGCCTCCTTGAATAGGAGGCATCCATGTCCCCATTTTACAGATGATGCTCAGAGAAGTTGAGTCACAAAGCAGGAAGGGTAAGGGACAGGAATTAACTAAGTCTACCAGATTCTAGTGCTTGGGCACAATCCAGGGTATGTCCAAGGAACCTTGAGTGTGACTATGGGTCTGATGGTGCATGTGAGTGAGTGTATTTGTAAGAATGTGTGGGTGTGTCACTGTATGTGTTTGGGTGACCATGTGTTTATGATTGGGATCCCATGTTCTGTGGCCATGTGGCTTCTTATTTATACATGCATTCCTGAGCATGGGTGTGTCTGAATCCGAGGGGTTTGGAACGGGGTGTGTTTGAGCATGAATTTGTATGTCTGAATGTGGTCCTGTCTGTCCGTGTGTTTGTGTACGAGGAGTGTGGTTTTGTTCGTGAGTGTTTGTGGTATTGCTGTAGCCGAGAGGACATAGTTGTGAGCATGAGCCTGCTGTTCTTGCAGGGTCATCGGTGCATTTAAGCCCTACTCAGGGTGGGGTCCAGAGGGAGTAGACTCAAGGCAGGCAATCCAAGAGAACCCCCAAAAGCCAACAGGTGTTGGCAAAGACACCTAACAGATTATAAAGCCTCAGCTGTGAGGCCCTGAGTTAGGGAAGCCCAGGCTCCCTACTACCCCCACAGGCTCCAGGGGGTAGAGGGGTGGGGGTTCTTTCCCTGGCTCTAGGGACCTCCTCTACACCCATACAGGAGCCCTGAGGGTGGAACTATCTACTCAAGAAGGCTCAGCTTATTAGTAGCAAAGAGTAGAGTCTGGGCTGCTTGAAGTGGACCCTTCCTTTCTGGAGCTGGAAGTTCCCAGAGAACAAAGGTGGGATGGAGTGGAAGTGAGGGGCTTCCAGAAAGGAAGGTGTGGGGGTGGGGGGAAAAGGGGAGGCCCTCAGAATTGAAAGACAGAAGCAGTGAGAAACAAGCACTGGATTCAGACCCAAGTTTGAATCCCAGCTTTGCCATTCATTTGCTGTGTGACCTCAGTGTATCAGTCAGCTATTGCTACAATAATGCTGCGTAACAAAACCACCCAAACCTTAGTAGTTTACAACAATAAATATTTATTTTCTCACTCGCTCATCTGGGGGGCAGCTAGGGTTTAGCTAATCTGCAGCAGGGCTCTCTGGGCTGGCAGGACTCCAGAATGTGGGTTGGATTCAGTCTGTTCCATATGTCTCCCATTCCCCTTGGACCAGCCGCCACCCAGGCTTGTTTTCTGTCATGGTGGATGCTGGGAGTGCAAGCATCCACGCCAAGCCATGGCACACAGATGCATACCTCTCCTCCGCCTGTGGCACAGTCACCCACAGCAAATGAACCCTGCAGAGTGGCTTGGCAAGGGGTGTGGGTACATAATCCTATTCCAAGAGGTGAAACTGAGAAAACCAATCCAACCCATCACACACATGGAAATCACTGCCTCCCTCATGGCCTCAATTTTTCCACCACATTGTGCATCAGAACAATACGAGAGCTTTTCCAGAACATAGGTTCCTGGACCCCACCCCAGACCTGTGGAATCAGAATTCCAGAAGTGGGTCCTGGGACTCTGCATGTTTAACAAGTGGCTCAAGAGTTTCTTACCATCTGGCAGATTTGGGAAACTCAGGTCTAAGCCCCTGTATGACCTCAAAGCCCTGAGGCTTTCTGGATCATAAATACCTTTCTCCTTCCTCTTTGTTTCAAGCCCCTTGACAAGCCGACTCTTTCTCAGATGGTCAGAGCCCAGCTGGGGACCATGCGGCCACACCACGCCCTCACCACCTTATCCCCTTTTGCCAGATGAGGAAACAGAGATCCAGAGAGGTGGAGCCACGACTAAGGCCTCTCTTGAGGCCAACTAGGATTTAAACCCAGAGCTGTGGGATTGCAAGTCTACACTGCAGAAGACACAGTTCCTGCCCTTAATGATCTATGCCCTGGTTGGGAGGATGAGACATGGACACAGCATCTACATACAAGATGGCATGAAAGAGGGCCCAAGGAGGTATCAGGGAGGGGAGAGAGATCACAAGCAGGAGAGAGCATAGCCTCCTAGGGAATGGGAAAAGGGCAAATCATGGAAGGCTTCCTGGAAGAAGAGGCATTTGAGCTTGGCTTTGCAGAATGGAGATGCTTAGAAGAAGCAGAGATGGAATCGTGCAGGGAGAAGGTGTCCCAAGAGAGGGAAGTGCAGGAGGCAGTCTAGAGGGAGAGTTCTTTCTGTTCCTCCTGAGCACGAGGTGCCTCCACACATGGTCCCTCTGCCTGGACTGCTTTTCTCTTCACCCTTCTTTCAGACCTTAGCTCATTTTTATTGACCTTCCTCACTTGATCACACACCCCCAGCACCGTGGCCCTCAAGCCTCCCTGGTTGAGATTTTAGCCTTAAGTCTTTGATCATGTCATTCCTGTCTGTCTCCCCCGCCATCAGCGTGTGGTGGTACATAATGGGTCTGCTTTTCCTTACTTACCACGGTTTTCCCGGCACCTGGCCAGGGGCGCACCACAGTGAATGCTCAGTGAACATTTGCAGAAGGGCTCAGAGAAGCGTGGAGTGAGGTGGGGCGTAGAGAAGTACGACAGGCTGGAAAGCAAGGCTGGGGACTTGATTTCCAGACAAATGCATTCAGTGGTCGGTTTTAATCAGACCCTAAAATTCAATATATAAATATCCAGCTCATTGCCTTAAAAGGAAAAAGTATTCCTTTTGGGCAAGTGGCTGGGCCTTGCTCACACTTCCTTGGCAGTCACCAGGGCCAGAGCTGTCTTCTGACTTCATAAAGCCATCGTGCCACCTCTGAACCACACTCCACTATTCCAGAATGCCTTTCTGCCCCATATTCATGTGTCCTCTCGGGGGCCCCTGGAGAGAGGAGGCCAGGCTGGGCCGTACATCCCCACTTGACAGAAGGGCTGGATGTGGAAACTGATGTGGGGAGAGGTCAAGCACACACCCAGTGTCACTCAGCTGGGAAGGGGCAGCCCCGGGATTCAGGCTGCTGTCCAGAGTCTCTGGTCCTTGACACAAACAAACCAGACAACCTAGGGGATGGGAGGGAGGAGGGCGACCCTCAGGGTGGGCATCAGAAGAGAGCCTCTCTGAGGAGGTGGCATTTAAGCCGAGATCGAAATCACAAGGCAGAGACAGCCGTGCAGACCAGGGGGCGCGTGCGGCATTTCAGTAACGTGGGGCTTGTCCTCAGGGCGCGTCCAGTCCTCTTGGCCGCCCTCCAGGGCTGCGCCGGACATGGTCTCACCCGGAGCAAGCTCCGTGCAGCCGCACCTCTGCCCAGTTCCAGCAGGGGTGGGGAGGGTCTGGGTTTGGGAATCTGGCAAACAAACCTGGCTTTGAATCAAGCCTGGCTGCTCACTGGCACACAGCCTTAGACAAGTCACTTAGCCCACGTCTGAATGCATCTCCTCGTGAGCGTCACCACCCCTCCTCACGGGACTGCTGGGAGGCTTTGAGCTCATGTCTCAAGGTGCCTCCCAGGCTGCCTGGTACATGCAGGCGGTCAGAAAGCGGAGACCGTTCTGTGACCCCCCTAATCATAATAATGGCTCCCATGGTTCGTTTACTCTGTGCCAGACACTATCCCGAGTCCTTGACGATACATCTTCACGACAACCCTAGGAGGTGGGTCCTATCATTATCCTGTCTCACGGGTAAGGAAATTACGGCATCGAGGGGGAGGCGACTTGTCCCCAGTCACCAGGCCGGTGGTGGCAGACTGGGGCCCAGTGCTGGCGGGACTCAGGCCTTCTGCAGAGGCCGGGCAGGATGTGAGCAGGGGCCGGTGCACACCACAGCCCGGGCGGCAAAGGCGGTGTTTGGCATCACCAGAACTGAACAGGAGATTGACTAGTTACGAAGTTCCCCTGTTGGCCCGTCCTAGTGGGTCGTGTGGGCAAAAAGTCGTCATCAGTGCTGGGCTCAGCCCTCATCCAGCACGGCCCTGTCTTCACTGTGTGACCAGGCTGCATGGGAGGCTTCGCTTCCCCCAGCCTCAGGGTCCGCACCTGCAGAATGGGCATCGATCTATATCATTCCCGCTTTGCTGGATGGTGGCCAGATCAGCAATAATGTAGACAGAGCACCCAGCACAGAGTCCGTGGATGAGACATGGCAGCTAGGCTTCAAATGAATCCAGAAGGTGTCTTCGTTTCCTCTTGCTGCTGTAACAAAATGCCACAAACTTAGCAACTTAGAACGAGCCGCAGTTCCTGCCTTCCGGCTCTGTAGGGCAGAAGACTAGTCTGGATCTCACGGGCCCAAATCAAGCTGTTGGCAGGGCGGCGTTCCTCTCTGACGACTCTAAGGGAGGATCCGTTTCCTTGTTCATTCAGGTGTTGGCAGAACTCAGTGCCATGGGATGGTAGGAGTGAGGTGTCCCTGTCCTTGCCAACTGGCCGCTGCCCTTCACCTGAGGGGCCCTCTTTCCAGTCCTTGCACGGGGCTCCTGCATCTCAGAAGCTACAACGGGGTTCAAGCCCTCTTCATGCTCCGGCCCTCTGGTTCTCTGACTCTCGGCTGCGAAAGCTTCTCCTCCTTTAAGGACTCAATAGATTACATTGGGTCTACCTGGATAATCCAGGATAATTTCCCCATCTCGAGGACCATGACCTTAATCACATCTGCAAAACCCTTTTGCTGTGTAAGGTTACCATATTCACAGATTCTGGGATCAGGATGTGGACATCTTTGGGGGTCATCATTCTGCCTATTGCAGAAGGTAACATAAGCCAAATTAAAGCACATCAGCATTGTCAGGGGCCCTGGAGTGCACACCTCGTTTTTTATAGAAAGGAAAACTGAGGCCCAGAGAGGTCCCTAAGTGGCTGTCCGAGATGACCCAGCAGATGGTGGTAGAGCCGGTCTCCAGCACCCCGGCCAAGCGTCACGGCCCCCGTCCAGGACTCCACTCCGCATGGCTTTCTCATGGAAGGACTTTCAACTTTCCAAAGCCCCTTCCGCCAGTGTGTCCTCCTCTGATCCTCCTGCCCTCCTGGGGGGCAGGCATACAGTGGCTCAGTCTCTAGGACTCGCATGAGCATGTACTCACCTACTTCTCTCCCTGGGGGCCAAGAGGATCAGAGGAAGATGGGCCGAGAGAGCCCCCGGTGAGACGCAGGCCTGGAGAAATGAAGGGAGAGGGAGAGGGCACTTTCCTCCCCAGGCTAAGCCCTCTGCACACATCGGCCTCTTTGATCCCCCCAAGCTTTCTGCAGGGAAGGCATTGCCAGCCTAGAGTATCAGTTAAGATTGAGTTTCGCTGCACAGAACAGGAAAAAAAATAACAGATAGCTGCTGCCACGGTAATGCTGTTGGACAATCAACCACAACACCAACAGCATAAAAGCAAGAAGCATTTTTCTAGCACACGGGGCTCCGGATCGGCCGGGCGGGTCCTGGTGGGGGTGCACTCATGGGTTTGCACTCTGGGTCACTCGGCAGATCTTTGGATATTTTCAGGGCTTTATTACACATTTGGGGTTGGCTGCTGTCAGATGGTCAGGATGGTCCTGGCTGGGACCCCTAGGGCCACAACTCTGTTCTGCGTATCTCTTCTTCAGCAGGTCAGCCTGGGCGTGTTCTTGTGGCAATCACAGGGAACCAAGATAGCCAGCAGATATATGCAAGGGCTTGTCAAGCCTCTGCTTAGATCGTGTTTGCTAATATCCCATTGGCCAAGGCAAGTCTCATGGCTCAGCCCAAAGCTGGGGGACAGTTTGACACAAGTTATAGGGCAAAGAGTGAAGATATAAGGACGTGATTAATAACACAACCAGGGGCGCCTGGGTGGCTCAGTCGTTAAGCATCTGCCTTCAGCTCAGGTCATGATCCCAGGGTCCTGGGATTGAGCCCCACATTGGGCTCCCTGCTCAGCGGGAAGCGTGCTTCTCCCTCTCCCTCTGCCCCTGCTTGTGTTCCCACTCTTGCTGTCTCTCTCTCTCTCTCTCTGTCAAATAAATAAATAAAATATTAAAAAAAATAATAATAATACAACCAGTCTACCATAGTGGCTTAGACAAAATGGAAGTTTATTTTTCTTATATGTAAAGGATGTCAGAAGTTGCAACTCTGTGGAATCATCAGGGATCCAAGCTTCGCGGCACACAGCTTCTTGTTCTTATGGGCCAGAATGGCTACGAGAGCTCCAGCTATCACATCCATGTCCCAGGCAGCAGGATGAAAGAAGGAGAATGAGAAGGCCCTTCCCTTTAAGAGAGACTTCCTGGAAGTCCCACATATTACATTAGCTTTATATCTCATTGGCAATCCTATTGTCACATGGCCACTTGTAGCTACCAGAGAGTTTGGGGAAAATATAGTCTTTTTTGGGGCATAATGTGCCTAGCTAAGAACCAAGATTTTGTTAATTTGAAAAAGAAAGAATGGATATTTGGGCAGGCAGTAAGTCATGTCTGCCACATCCCATTTTGCAGGTGAGAAAACTGGGCTCAGAGAGGAAAGTAACTTGCCTGGGGTCACACAGTCTCCGGGGCATAAGAGAGCTGGGATCTGAACCCTGAATGAATGCTGCATCTCCTCCCTTCCACCACCACTATTACCACCACTCAGCTACTCACAGTGCTGCTTACGGGTCTGAGCAGCCCAGGGGCGCCCGGCTGGCTCAGTCAGAGAGCGTGCAACGCTTGATCGCGGGGTCATGAGTTCGAGCCCCACATTGGATGTAGAGATTACCTAAGATAAATAAGTAAAATTTTAAAAAAATAAAAAGATTCAGAAGATTCTGAGCGGCCCAGACAGCTCCATATGACAGACGTCCCCTGGCCCCTGACTCTGGACCTAAGCCTCTGCTAAGCAAGTGACATGCAGGTTTTCATTTAACCTCCCAACATCCATGCCCTGTCCCCCTTCTGTAGAGAACTGGAGGCACCAAAGGGCGAGATATGCTGCCTGGGCTACCTGATTTGAAGCTCAGGCTCTTACCACCTTGCTAGTCCAGGTGCTGGGGTAGGACTGGGTCCCATCCAGCAGCCACAGGTAAGATCAAGGCTGTCCAGCATCCCATGGGCAGGTGGGCCATTGGAGGTATCCATGGTACCAAGCCCAGGGCCTGGCCTTAGCCTGCTCTGATCATGTGCATGGCTCAGGCCAAGAAATCAGGGAGAACAAACCAACCGAGGCTGTAGAGTCAGGCAGGTCTGGGTCTCGATCCCACCTGTGAGCTGAGGTACCTTAGGCAGGAGACTTGACCTGACTCTCGTTTTCCTCATCTGTGAAATAGACATGATTAACCTCACTGCATCTGATTGTGTAGCACCCAGAAGTGCTGTTAAATCTAAGCTGAATCAAGGGAAGAATGAATGAGCAGATGAACAGCCACCGCAGACAGGAGCTTTTCTTGGGTTCAAGGGAAAAGACAGTATCTCCTAGACCCAATTTTTGTTGTTTTGGGGTTTTTCCCAAAAAAAAAATATGTCCCACAAATTGCTACTTCCAAAAGACATTAATAACTATTACATGAAAAAGGGGTTCTGAAGCCAAAGGAGACCTCGACTGCCAGGTTAACTGGGTCTCTCCCCTGCAGGACTTCTCAGAGCCTTGAACAAAGGCATATACAATGTGGGTCTCATAAGCAGGGGTCTAGAACTCTGTGTTTCTGTACCTTTCTTGGCCACAGAACTCCTTTTTTTCATAGCAAAGTACCACCTTGACACCAGTTCTCAGCTTTTCCTTTTTCTACCCACAGCGCAAATGTTTGGTCCAATCAGAAAGAAATGAGGCCCATTTTCTGGAAGCGTTTTATTTGTGGAAATTCTGTTGTGACAGTTATGATCAGGTCACCCAGAATTGCAGCTGGATCATCAGGAGTTTAATGTATTGCCACAGTTAAAAGAGCGACCCCGCTATCAACCGGAAACTCCAAGAGTCCCAGAGAATGTAAGCGCAGTTGCGATGCCCTGTTGTGGTATTTTAGGCCGGCTGGTCGGCGAGAGGCTCCAGGCCACCGCAGCAGGTCACATCACAAGTGGGCTCGGGGTCTGAGGCAGAGCGAATGGTTAGTGCCCATCATGGAAGCTGCATTGCCTTCCCCTGGCTCCCAGCCCCCAAGGTCAGTGACTCAGCCAGGTTCCTGAAGGTGCTAAAAAAGGGGAAAGGCTTACCCTTCCTTCTCTCCTTCCTTCCTCCAATAATATGGATAAGTGCTTACTCTGAGCCACACACTGTCACACCGTCCCAGGCACTAGGGATAAGGAATTGAACAAGAGAGACAAGGTCCCTGTTAACACTGCAAAGCAAAGAAAGCCGCTGTGGGGTGGCAGGGGACGGGAGCGGGTGGGTGGTCAGGGAGGGCTTCCTGAGGGGCCATGGAGATCCGGGGCAAGGGGCGTCCAGGCAGAAACACCGTGGGGCCAAGGCCCTGAGCAAAGGATGACCTTGGTGTGATTGGGAACAGAAAGGTGGCCAGTGTGGACGGCACTTGGGAGTGGAGGGGCACGTGCACGGAGGTGGTGGGTGCCAGGCAGGTGCGCCCGGAGGCCACGTGGAGCATCTGTGTGTTATTTGGGGGGCAGTGGGAAGTCACGGCGTGCTGTCGACAGCAGTGAAGATGTCACAGAGGTAGCGGGATCTGAGACTGGGGCTTGGGGGGGGTCTCACACTGCCAATGCCCAGTGACTTCTCCCTACTCCTCTAAGCTCCTGGGGTCTTCTGACTGGTGAAAGGGTAAAGGCTGAGTACTCTCGGGGGTCTCCTTCTTGCCTCGGAGCTCGGGGCTGTGGAGACGAAGCTGAGCAAAGCCCAAACCCACACCCTCTGGTCTCGGGCCTCCTGTCTTCCTGACCGTCAAAGGCTCCTAGTCCCAGAAGGCCCTGAGAGACCTCCTCATTCAACCCCTTCATGCCCAGAGGGGGAAACAGAGACATATGCGGAAGGCTACTTCCCCAAGTCTCAGCTAATGAAGGGACTGGACACTCCCCCAGGGCTCGCTGGGGGCAGCAGGGCCCCTGACCACCTGCTCCAGCCAAGCAGGCCCTGCCTGGCCGGCCTCCCCCTTCCCCTCTCAACCACAAGCCTCTTTTGTGCTTGCTCCCTGGGGCTCCATCTCCTTGCAGGGGTCACAGGGCACCACTGACCCCAGCCCCCTGCCGGCGTGCCCGGCTGGTAATTGAAAATACCAGAATTCCCTGAAGACCAACTTACAGGGAAACCTGATACCCCAGGGTGGGCGGTGGATGGCAGGAGGGATGGGAGAACATCCAGCTGTTCCCTTTTCTCAATCCCCCCGGATTCCAGGAGAAAGGCCAGCCCTGCTTGGCCCCCACTGGCCCGCCTTGATCATCTTCCCAGCAAATGCCGCCTCCTTGCCACGCCCAGGGTGACAGGGCTTATGGGATCAGAGCCCGGGTGAGCTGTCTGTAACCCAAGCCTGCCAGCTAAGCCCACCAAGCCCAGACCCCCATAGCTGTGTGGGACCTGCCCCACCAACAGCTGAGCTCCCAGAGCTGAGGTGGGCTGGGTGGTGGTGGGCGAGGTGAGTCAGCGG